AAATAAAAGCTCTGGCAGTATAACATATTTCCAGACTTAAGTCTATTAACATCAAGCTATGACTTGGGTGAAGAATATATTTTTGAATTATTGGGTCTATAAATATTTCAAAAGATCTGGAAGAATAAATAAAAACCCCACTTATTATCGTGTTCCCAAGTCCGTTGAAATTTATTTATGTGAGAAATTTGTAGAAACAAAAATAAACACAAAGAACATGTGACGCTCTCCGTTTTGTTTTAAATGCAAGCATATTTTGTTCATAAGTATTTGTGGCCAAGAAGTAAGTAATTTTCTCTGGCAACTGGCCAAAATGCATACAACGTATGCAAAACAAAAACATTCCTCTAAATAAACAATTTAAATTGCAATCGCCAGAGCAACAAAAGCGCGCCAAATTGTTTACAAGAACGTAAACAAATAAATTTGAATGAATGTTTCGCGCAACAAGTGCAAGCGACAACAAAACAATAAATGCCAGAAATAGAAATAGAATTAGAAATTCCTAAAAATTCTCAATCAGAAAAGTTCCCCAACGATATATTTGGCCGACTCAGCGACTCAGCTACGCGGCACATAAAATACGAGTGTGGATGGTGAATGCACAAAACAGGATGACCACACCCATCAGATACACATACATACTATAGGTATGTTTGTGTGTGTGTATAGGTTTTCGCGTTCTGCCCAAACCTGCTTCTCCGCAAAATGTGTGCTTAAATGATAACAAGAGTTTGACATCACAAAAATGCAAATAAAAATGTCACCACACACACACACACACTCACATTTGTAATACACACGCCTAACACTTTTGGCAACTGTCAGGGTCATTATCCTAAACGGCACACGCACACACACACGCCCACTCAGTAACTCACACACTCACACACTCTATTGCACGCGCTCGTTTACATTCTACCTAGTCGGCGACGTCGGCCAAGTCCACTGCCCTTGGCCAGCCCAGCCCAGCCCCGGCTCTGCTCTGCTCCTGCCACTAGCCCTGGTGGTCGGCGCTTCCAACAGAATCCCCACATGCCAACGCCAAGCTGTCGGCAGCAGCAACAATGGCAATGAGTAAGAAATGTTGAAATAAAATGCAGCGATGCATGCGAATTGTGCAGCGGGCCCAATCACGAAACGTACTCTATAAACACAAATACAAACACAAATACACGCACACACCTGCATGCAAAATTTGGCAAGACTTGGTCGAATCGAGAGATGTGCTACTATATAGTACAATATTAATATAATATACTATAAATTATTATAAAACTACTTGTAGAAACATTGCTAGTACGTCATTCTAACCAGCATCTGCCCATTTCACCCTTGCTGCCCGACTATATAAACATTCGAAATGGCATTCTAACGATTGATTAAAATAAATGCATAATTTGGCGTCGGAAAGGGGTGTTTTTTATGCCGATTTTATTACGAGTGCTTCTGTAAAATAAAATGACCCAAAACTGCACACGTTTGTAAATATTCCCGAGCACTGGCAACATGCCGACAAGTTTTTGGCACAATAAACCACAATCAATACAGAAGGCTATTATAGCTGATACTACATACAGTAGCAGCTATATAAAAAAAACAAAAACGATTTTCAAACGATCGAAATACATATATGTACTTAGTTTAACAATTGAAAGACAAGAAAGAAGCGAAGAATACTTATGTATGTACATATACATGAGTCATTTAGGGCTGATGGTAAAGTATAGAAGAAAGATAAGACATATCCATAATCGGCTATTTCCATTACTACGTTAGATCTGAAGTGTATTAAAAAACCTAACCTATACACATAGTGATGTGTTGCTGTCTCCGACACGCTTATGATAATCTCAGCTCATGGTGATGATCAAATTTTTGAAACAAATAGATGTAAAAGGGTAGTAATGAAAATATCTAGCTTATACAAGTATATAGTATACAAGTACATTTAGCCCATGCTTAACATGGGGATTGTGTACGTCAGTTAAAGTTCGGCAGTCAGACACTTAAAGAAATACACCTAATACCGTTTTTACACGGTAGATTGGTTCCACAAAAAGTCGTGTTAAAAAAAAACTTGTAAAAAAGACATTGATCATATGCAAAAATAGTTTATTGGTTCCCTATCTCTAAAACATATTGAAAACAGTGAAAGTGTTTAGCGTGCTAAAAGAAAAGTTTTTAATCGTGTTAGACCGAGTTCCCATTAAAAGAGGTCGTGTTAAGCGAGGGACATGTGTAGTTATACTATAGTGTACATGTATATTAGTACATATCTTTAATCACACAGCTTCAATTCATAAATTATAAATTGTTAGAAAGCACTATTAGAGTAGGTTTTAAAAAATTGAAATTGTTGAAGTACCGCATTTAAATTATATATTTTGATGCTTCCAATTCGGAATGGGAAACCAGGTGGACACACCTTGGGTAGCGCCCTCGAGTGCGTGAAGGCTGCTGAGCGCCGCAGACGCCGTGCCGGGTAACATCCCACATGCATGTAGAATTGCAAAATGCTTTGGGACCGGCACACACGCTTTCCTTTACAAGTGGTTCTATCCATTTGCATACACACTCGTAGTCCTACATTTGTACCCGAATAGGCGTCAAAATAAAGTTTTGTATGCAGATCGAGGGGCAGGCTGGACGACTGCATGCTAAATGAACATAAAATTTAATTTATTGTTGCCAGGCACAACAGCCAGAGAATTATTGCCACCATAATCGTACACTCTTATGTATAGCGAGAACAGAGGCGAGTCCAGCCATAATATTTCTGGCAAACTGGTTGTTGTCCGCACTAGGCGGCTCCGCATTCTCTTCTTGCGGCGCGGCGCGGAGCATTTTGACGCTTGGCTTGGCATGAAATGCATTTTTAATGCGAGATAAAGCTGCCGGCCTTCTGGACATCTTTTCAGTGTCAGACGAGCCCGAATGCGAGTGCCAGCGCCAACGCCCACGAATCGAGTAATTTGGCCACCCATTTGCGTGGTCTGCAAGAGAGCGTAATAAAATATTTAAATGCAATGCATTTCTCCAGCCTGACGTGCAGCAGGCACGGTATTATTATTAATGACGACGTCGACGACGGCCCCGCGAATTGTCTGCCTGTGGCATTGGCCTTCAGAAGCGATTAAGTGTGGCCCGAATGGCTTAAATGGCAGCGCCTGCTTATGCAGCACATTTTTAAAAAGATTTAAATGAGAGTGCCTTCGGTGACCTAGAAAATAAAAGGGCTGTGGAATCTACAATAGCAAGTAGTTCGACCACAAGATAATAGAAATGTTGATAAGTGCAAGTGCGTCTTATTATGTAAAAATTTACCTTTTCCTGTGCCTTCTCTTCAACGTCGATCGATCCCATAAAAGTCAACCTTTGAAAGCATTCCACCAAATCCAAAATTAAACCTATCTTTACGACATTCAATTATTACTTGAGTCTACTGCCATAAAACACATTATTGTTGTTGAGTCTTTGTACTTTAAGGCGTAATTTCTTTTCCCTCTTCAATATTTATTTCTATATACCAATACCCTGCAATTTAATTTAATTTTAAACCATTGAGGGCACATTAAATCAAAGTGCTGATATTTGGAAATCAAAACCAACTACCAACAAATTTGCTTAAAACTTATCATATTGGAACGATACCAATTTAAATTATAAAATAGAACCGGAAACGCACAGATTATGTGGTGCAGATCTATAATATACAAGTATATTCTTGTTGTTGGTGAAAAAAACTTAAATCGCAATATCGTATTAAAAACTACAAGGTTGGGTTGCTCTCAGACTTAAAGTTATGTTTCAAGTTATAGCTTAGCATCTATCCCTATCACTCTCTCTCTCTTTCTCTCTCTACACCATAAAACAATTCCATTTCCCTTGAATTATAATGTTACGAGTACAGATTTAAAGAGGTTCACATAAAGCACGATACAACTAATTCTAATTTTACACGGTATTTTTCTACACGATTTTGATATAACACGGTTTAAAAATTAAAAATTTCATATGAATTTCTTTAGAGATAAGGAACCAATCACTTTTTTTTGCATATGATCAATGTTTTTTTTTTACACGGCTGTTTCTGGAACCAATCTGCCGTGTAAAAACAGAATTGTATACATGATCTGGCTCTGGATCCAAGTATCGAGCTCGTCGTCTTGACGATCGATACGGCTCCTAGCTGGTTGTCTAGGGTCGCTTAAATAGGTTAAAAGGGGGAAGGAACCATATTTATTTATCGACAAACAGAGCTGTGGATGTGAGAAGAAAACAAAACAATACAGAAATTATATCAGAATAACTAAACTAAAACAAGGCCCATAGAAATAACAAAAATGTCTAATAACGAATCCGACTCGGTGGGGGGATTTTATTTGCCAAGCAGCCAGCTATGCCCCGATTCACAGCAGAGAGTAGACCTAAAAAAGAAAGAGAAGAGGAAAAATAGCAATACAAGATAAAGAAGAAGTATAATTAAATAAAAATAACAAATTAAAATATAAAAGATAAACTATAGTTTGAATAGCACTCACGTCCATATGTATACCCTTATAAGGTGAAAATGTGTTGCTACTTATCTTTAGCAATTGCTCAGAATGCAGGAAGTCTCTCATTTTCACGCGTGTGTCATCAATAAGAGTATACGCGTCTTCGTACGTCACTCGATTCCCGCAATGGCGTCTGCTTTTCATCATCAATTGATAGCATTACCTGTCGAGGGACAGGGCCGGCTGCAAAGAAATGGCAACACAGAAAAAAGACCCCGTATTGATAAATAGTTATCAGCTGCAAAGGTGTCAAAAATAGGCGCTCATAAATGTGAATATAGTAAGTAATTACAACACTTAGAGGGTGACTCGGTGAGACTTTTAGTCTAATATGGCCACCAGCTTATCTGCCAACATCGCCGACACTTGAAGCGGCCGAATGAGTTTTGAATAAGTACGCACCAATAACTAATCAGTCCACAAACATTTCATTCATTTCAGTTATATTGCAACTTCTGAGCAGAACAGGTGTGAAAAGTTTCGCGACCCCATTGGTTGAGGCCCATTGAATTACAATAGACGGGAGGGACTGCGAATAGAAGAGGCAACGAATCAAACATGTATTCCCGAGATATGTTGCTGCTGGCCTGTGTGGTCTTGCTGCTCGGCGGGATGCCGCAGCTCATCTCGACCACAACGACGACCACTTTTGTGGCCGCCATGTCCATAGCCAACCAGGATCTGGAGCGCTACTTTCGACCAGCGAATGCGACACACACGTTCACCACCATAGGTGAGGAGCGCATTGCCGTCGACGTCTACAACTATGCGTTCCTCAACTGGTCCTACATGGACACGGACAACGTGCTCTTCGAGAGCGACTACAAGGAGGAGAAGGCGCGCTACGGCGAGGGCCGGGTGTTGGGGGTTACGGGTCGCCTGGTGCACATTAGCAATGTGGAAGATATAAGCGACGATTTCGCGTGTACGCCCTACATTCGCGGCACGTTGGGCGCGCCCACACCTCCGAAGGGCGTGCCGTGGATAGCGTTGGTTCGACGCGGACGTTGCACCTTCGAGGACAAGGTGAAGCATGTCTTCCAGCAAAATGCTGTCGGCGTCATCATCTACAACGACAAGCAGGTCATGCAGCTGGAGAAGATGCAAATCAAGGGCAAGAACCGTAAGTTTGCCGACAGTTACTCTATCTGGTCGAGTCCAACTAATGCTTTATCCTCTGCATTGCATTTTCAGGCAACATAGCCGCTGTCATAACGTATCAAAATATTGGCATGGACTTGGCCAACATGGTCGATAAGGGCCACAACGTGACCATTTCCATCATCGAGGGACGCAATGGTGTGCGGCCCGTCAGCAGTTTGAATCGGTAAGTGTAGAAAAAAATAAAATATAAATAAAAGAAGAAAATAAACACAATGTCGTCGTGATTGAGGTTGGAGACGCCGGGGTTTGAACCCGGGACTTCTCACATGCGAAGCGAGCGCTCTACCACTGAGCTACGTCCCCAATCCCATACGCATCGGCTATTGTCAATTTGTACATAAGCAGCAAATACCTGCATTATCGACAGACTATTGCTCGTAACGCTTTTCTGTGACAGCAGTGCAATTACACATTTCCATGTATGCAACAAAAATGTTAAGCTTCGAGCACTGCTTATTGTGCACTGCTTAGGTTGTTTTAATACCAATGGTGTCCGCTAGGTGTACTAATGTTACCACAGTTTTGGAGCCATCAAATGATTTAAAGGACGCAACGAAAAAAAAACAAACACGATCAAGTGTTAGGTCGGAATATCATAAAGCTGTCAAACTTTACGATTCAGATATTGCTTATATATAGTAATATTGAACGGCCTCTACATCTTGAGCGGTGTGCCTCAAATTTCGCATTTTACTCTCCTTTTCGTGTTCTGTGTACAAATTATAATGAACTCTGCCATTTAATTTATTTTATTCATTCCCCTAGTAACTTAAACAGTAATATCCTTTTAATCTGATAAAAAAGTTGCATAGTACAGATGAATATTTTCATATTAAATGCATACTAAAAATGTACACATTTTTTAATACAAATCTCTGCTTTTCCCCCCTTTTTTATGTTATAAGTTTTCTTTGTTATAAAACAACAAAATGGCAGTATCATTTGCTATCAATTTTTAAATAAGAAAAAATTAAGTTGAAAGCTTAATCGCAATTTATCAGATATGTCCACTTCATTGGAACAATGTGTACAAGTATGCGTGTTTTTAAAACCAGAACACTAGGGAAATTCTTTCCAACTAAATAAGGCGAGCAGCTTAATTCGTTCTGAGCTTATAGTACTGTCATTATTAATTAACTACGAAACAACAATTATTACATTCTTTGAATGCATTAATACATTTCTTTGAATCTATTGGTTTTTCCTCCTTCCAGTACCTCTGTGCTATTTGTCTCGATATCGTTCATTGTCCTGATGGTAATATCGCTGGTCTGGCTCGTCTTCTACTACATCCAGCGCTTCCGATACATGCAGGCTAAGGATCAGCAATCGGTTAGTATTCTCGGCATCCAATTCCCACACTATAATATCGCTAGGCTCTCTCTCTCTCTCCCGAACAGCGAAATCTGTGCTCCGTGACCAAGAAGGCCATCATGAAGATCCCCACCAAGACGGGCAAGATGACCGACGAGAAGGACATGGATAGCGATTGCTGTGCGATATGCATTGAGGCCTACAAGCCGGCGGATATAATACGCATACTGCCTTGCAAGTGAGTCTTGGACAGTTCGTTAATTGTCAATTCTGAAATGCTAATTCGCCGCTCATTCTCGTGCATTCCCGACAGACACGAGTTCCACAAGACCTGCATCGACCCGTGGCTCATCGAGCATCGCACCTGCCCGATGTGCAAGCTGGACGTGCTCAAGTTCTACGGCTATGTGGTGGGTGACCAGATCTATCAGACGCCCAGCCCTCAGCACACTGCGCCCGTCCCGGCGCCAGCGCCACCGCCACCGCCACACGCGGACGAGGTGGTTCCGGTCATTGTGGTGGCGCTGCCGTCGACGGCGCAGCCACCGCTGCAGCAGCTGCAGGCCAACATGAGTAGTTTTAGTGCCAGCCATTACCAGCATCAGCATCAGCAGTATCAGAATCCGAATCCGAATCAGAATCCGAATCAGAATCAGCATCAGCGTAGTCCTAGTAGTAGTCATAATGCTCAGCAGGCGCAGGGGTCGCGGGGACGACGCAACTCTGCGCCTGCCACCATGCCGCAAGTCATTTGCACTGCCAGCCGCCAGGTGACAGATGTCTAGACTCTAGGTCTGTAGAGGACATAGAGTATACAAGTATAGAGGATATAGTGCCGCCACAAGGCACGCATACACTTAATACACTATACATACTTATATATAAATCTCGTACTTACCAGATAATACTATACGTTATACTATACCTACATATATGTACTTGTATAATTATATGATTACGATTACTGCTAAGTTCGTCTGCTAGTTTCTACGCATTGTATTATACGAGATCGAGGACTCGGAGAAGGAGGAACGGATGAATCCGTTGACCTAGCGTTTACAGTTACGTTCACGTTCACGTTCACGTTTACGGTTAAGTTTCACTTGTAAATATGCGCCGCTCTCAATGACCAACGCATCGCAACTTGAATGCTGATAAGACTTTAATTTAGTTTCTACTCATAAACATATTATAAATTCTACTATATATACATACGTGCTATATACTGTATAGCACAGATAAAAGGCACGCGCGCACAAACCGCGACGAAAGTTCAACTTTGTAACGGGAATTTCTCTTAGGCCGCGCTCACACCCCGGACATGGCCGGACATGGCCGGAATGGGCCGACGTAGTCGCGTTCGTAAGAGTTCTAAGTTTAAGTTTAGGTTCTACATTAAGGCGTGCAACAACAACAATTGTCGATATAAAGCAACTACATACATACATACATACATATGTATTAACCAACTAACTATAAAGCGTAGCAGTAGTCGCTGTAATGTTCAATGCAACAACAAAAACAAAAACACACACACACGCACAATATTGTAGCAAAATCTGATAAATCGGCGTCCGTATTGCTAGTCAACACACACCCACACCCACACACTCACACACACACACACACCCACACAAACGTATGTGAAGTATGTGTGCATGGAGAGAGAGCATCCAGAAGGCGCCCCTCAGCTCCCCCCACCTACTCAAGTCCAGTACCCATTCGACTAAATAGTTTACACAATGTACATTATGCATAATACTTGTACTTACATAAATACATACATACATAGCTACGTAGACAAACACATGTACATGCATACACATGTATTTAGTGACACTTACGTGTATGCAATTGTGTCGAAGGTGCCAAAGTATTTCCTTTTAGTTTGTTCATTTTGAATAAATATACAATGTTTTATTTATATTGCTTGATCATTTATTTCATTGGCATTTCTGATTTTTATTTTTGGTTCTACTTGTATCTGTAAATGGGCGCAACAAGCCACCATAGCTTCAATAATGAACCGATATTCGTATCAGAGCCCTACACTAGGGAAGTCAATGTGACTTCCAATGAATCCTCTTAATAGTACTATGTATTCGATTTGAGGAACAGACTCTCTCGAATCGAGCCAAGTGCAATATTCCAGCCACCAATCGGAAACTGCTGTCGGAAATCTTACTGCAGATTGTTTAACAAAATTCAAACAATCCTGTCCAATTTTTACACTGCAATAATTAATTTAGCTTTATTTCCCTGATTATCTAAAATAGTTCTTCGTTCAATGAATGAACAAACATTTAAAGCAAAATACTTACCATTCAGATGTAGCCTTCCCATGAGAAACCAATTCCCGTCAAACTATTTACTTAGCTTCAGATTGAGTTTGTTATAAGTACGAGTATGTATATAAGTTTCAATATTTTTTGAGCAAGAATTTACTTTCATTAAAGTACCTCATTATTACAGTTACAGTCTTTTATATAAAAGGAGAGGATAAAGATAAAGTCGTTTCATTTCTGACGGTCGACAGAGATTCAGTTTTCAACTTCTTAAGATTCAGGAAGTCATTGAAATTGAAGATCTGTTGTATACTCACTATTGCAGGCTTAAATGCGGCGACCAATTGTTGTGACTTGTTTCTCAACACACTCTATGCTAGAGTTGACTTAGTTTGGAAGGAGATTTCGAATAATAATTCGCAAACACGCTCAAATAAAATAGATACACTCACACACTTCGACGACTTATTGAAAAACAGAAAACAAGCAATGATCTCATAAACAAATTCCGCACCCATATGATTACTGGGTATAGGTTGCAGATTTCAACGTTGCGGCCTTTAGTTTCAGTTAAAAAAATGTATTATTGTACTAGAAATTACTTTTGACACATTTAAGTTGAAAATGAAACTCATGCTCCTAATTCTAATTTCATCCTCAAGGAAGTCGACCAATCTCATCACGGTTTCATTAATGTCCACGGATCAATGTAAAGTTCTTGTTCAGCTTGTTAGGAACTAAGAAAGGGAAACATATCTGCAAAATTTTGGTACTTTATTTTGTTTTCGTAGTTATGTTTTTAATATTTTGCTGCACTTCGAATACAAAACGAAAACGGGCCACTCCTGAATTGATAATCAACCAACTGCCCGCTAAAAATAAAAATTCAAGTCGATATCCTAGAGCCTTAGTTAGTTAATGTTTTGATAACGATTACCAATTACCAATTACCGATAACCAAATACATATAGTTTGCGCTAAAACTTAACTCAAATGGACTCAAAACGTATTTAAGAGACAACAATAAATTGATTGAAAATTGAAAACGCTTTGCTTGTTTCCACTGTAGACTCACACGGGCTTGAACGCTTCCTCCATTGCTCATCTGTAGATTGGCACGGCGCTGGGCCAGCTGAGCAGTCAGCGGCCAGTCAGCAAAATCCTTCCTACTCTCATTCCAGTTCCTGGGCAGCGAGGAGAGCATTCTGGAGTATGAGGCGGAGCGACCAGCCGCGTCCAATACCGCCATGCCCAGCACCGAGCCGGCAGCCGCAGTAGTTTCCTCCGCTCCTGCAGCGAGTGGAAATCCCTGTAAAAAAAAGCTAGTCAGTGCTGCGAGCAGGCCATTATAAATAGTATTCGGCGCTAACCGCATGGGATCCCCATTTAACCCTTTCCCAAAAATAACTCCAGCTGAGTATCCTTATGGTGTGCCACTCGATCATGGTGTATCGTTGATGCGTCATATACAAGTATCTAATCTCGGCAACTCCTTTGCAGCAACTTCTCAGTGCGCGTGAATCTTCGCGCCACCGACGCTCGCACTCGGCCGATGGCGGTTACAGCAGTGGCTGCTTCGGCCGTCAGCGCCAACCGCCTCAGCAGCAGCAGCAACAGCCCCATCAGCGGGAGACGCCGCAGCCTGCAGCTGCTGTGGGTTCCGCATCAGCAAGACGCAGCAGCTCCTCCAACGCGCTGCAACAATTGACGGACGCCTCGTATTCGCAGTCGCGCCAACGCCAGCGCGAATCTTTTGACTTTCAACGCACGCGGCGTCGCTTTATGCGTCGGGAGAGCGACGAAATATCCTTGCGCTCATTGCCCCGGCGTCCAGGAGAGGCAAGTCGATCGCTTACCCAGCAGCAAACTGGAAGTGCCACTCAACGCCAGGACTCCAATGACTCCTCGTCGTCGCGAGACGTGTACATCACAATACAAGTAAACGGCGAGGGAGTGGAGCTGAAGGACTAGGCGAAGGATACTCGCATCGATTCATAATTAACTCCGTGTATACGCAATACTGATATTGAACTATTCCTGTAATTATATTTCCAAGTTGTATTTAGTGAACTCCCTGTGTACAAATTCTAATAAATAAAGATTATAGCAAAATCACGTCTTTATTATCTATATAATAATATGAAATGAACATCGATGTTTTACATCGGAAACGAAAATCGCCATGACAAACATTGCTAAAGATGAAAGCTAACGACGAGCGGGATCAACTCTCCCTTGCATATTAGAGCTGGAAAAAACATCGATATATCGATGTTTGGGCAATATCAATATATCGATGTTTGGGCAATATCGAAAACATCGATGTTTTAGTTGCCAATATCAATAATCGGGTACTTTTTTATACCCTGTACCCAGAGGGTTAAAGAGCATATTAGTTTTGTGCGAGTGTACATGGAACACAAAGAAGGAGCCGTGGCAGACCCACAAAGTATATATATTCTTGATCAGGGTGACAAGATGAGTCGATATAGCTATGCCAGTCTCTCCGTCTGTCTGTATGAACGCAACGATCTCAGAAAGTATTAGAGCTAGAATAACCAAACTTGTTATGTAGATCCAGTTGGGGATTACGTGTCCGTATATTAAGAGTCATTATGATAGATCAAAAGAAAGAAAGTTGAAACCATAAATATGATATCTGCCTAGGCTCTGCAGCTGTGTTGCTGTTGTTTGTTGACATAATTCTGTACTTCACACATATGTTTCCATTTAATGTGTGTATTGAATAATTGTTATTTAATTAATTTAAAATTCGCAACATTTTTTTTATTTTTGGGTGTGTGTACAGGGTATTTAAGAGTTGAGTCCGCTCGACCTTAGCATAAGGAATGCTATCTTGTTCTCTTCCAATTACCAATTCCAATTACAATTGCAAACAACTTTTTATTAAATAAATGTTATGTATTTTGAAGGTCTAGTATTAAGACATTTTGTTTGACCTTGAATACGTTTTTTGTGAAAGATATGTAACAGTATCGTACTCTACATTTTTATAATGCCCAAAGCGTACAGAAATGATATATGATGTTAGTTCACGGGTTCAATGATTCAATCCGAGCGAGCTATACGTAAGCGTGGATATTGAAAATATGAAGACAATGCCCTCTTCCGCTACTTAGGTTAGCAACTTCGGGCGAATTCCATTAAGGATTTGCGCGTGCCTCGCTGACAACATGGTAATACATATGTATGAGTAGTTGCTCGTTCTATATTGTATATTGCTGATGCGAGTCTGGACTTTTGCTGATAAGTTGTGGTTGTCGTTGTTGTTGTTGTTGTTGTTAAGCCTGGCTAGCAGCAGCAGCAGACACTGAGGCAGCAGCTCAGAAATCCAAACACTGAGTCTCGGCCAAAATCAAAACCCAAACCAAAACCAAAAGCGAGGCCAGACACAGACAATGCGCCAGCTTTGAGCGCAGCTGGGGGAGATCCCACAAACGCGAAAAACAAGAAAATGGAGCAGAAGTTATGAGGAAGCCACGGTTGATGTTTGCCGCTCACAACTGCGCAGCTCAGCCAACGACAGCTAATAAGAATTCATCATGCCCGAAGAGGTGGACAGCGGGACAGAGGGAGGGGAATTGCGCAGCAACGGGTACCAGACGACTGCACGCGCCGTAATTGCAGCACAACAGGAGGGCGAGGGTTCCTGCCTCTCCGCCTGGGCAGCCGGCGGGCTCTTCGGTAGGCAGCATCGACCCGAGCGACGTCTTGGCCAACTGATGTTTATAAACTTAAAGTCTGTAATCACATTAGGGCATGCAGCAGGCCCAACCAGCCAGCCAGCCGACCGGCCGGTCCAGCAGTCCAGCAGTCGAGCACATGAGTGTTGCAGCTTTATCACCTGACGGCTCTCGGCAATCGGCACCCAGCACTCAGCGCTCTGAAGTCCATGCCGGGACCACTGAGATCAGTGGGCCTGCGACCAGGAGAGACTGACTCCCTGCGTATCCCACGTTCGCGATCATCGATGACAGCACGTACGATATTTTCGATTGCAACGTCGTCGAGTTGGTCAACGGCGGCGTTTCTTTTGGGGCGCATGGGCACTGGACACTGAACACTCGGCACTGGGCTCTGGCTGGGTGTGTGGGCGTGTCCACAGTGGGCGTAACAGTGCGCACTCAAGATAAAATTATTATATCGTAGGAAGTGTTGGCGGGGCTTGTCCCAGGATTGGGTGCAGTTGGTAATAAAAGAATATACTTGTATATTTTTATTTTCTCTCACTCTGCGACGTGTTGATGTCTATTAAGAATCACTAATATTTCAATGAAGTAATTGCTCAGCGCTGACACGGAAGAGCCTAATCAGGGTACAGTTTGCGGTTCATCCTGAATGTGAACAGGAGCAGTACATCAATAATTACGTACTCCAGTGCCAGTGGGATAAATAGTTAGCAGACGGAAAGATTTGATTACGTCTTTGTTGGCAGCAAGTTTGCTTTTTCAAAAAATCGATTAACTCCGACTGCACATTCACCAGCAAGGACACCAAAAATTGAGTTACTGTAAGTGGGAATACTAATTAACCAAATTAACACGATAATTTGACAAGTAATTTCGCTCATACATTTTGCTTAACATTATATATTATATATTTTATGTGGATTATATATTTTATGTGCCACATTTT